TTGTAGTGCTCCCAAACAGATGAAGTCAATTTCCTCTTTCTGAAAGTTGGTTCTCCAATATCACACTCTTCGTCACTTAGGTTTATTGGTATTTCATTAGCATTTGGTAACGGTTCAACTGGATCTTCTTGCGGGACATCGCTCACCGGTATATTGGCCGTACCATCTTCCTCGAGTATTGGTCCTACTCCAATACTTCCAACACTAGCTGCACTACTTGGACAAGACATTTGTACAAATAACAAATGACATTAAACACAATGAATTTTATCCAAATTAAATACAAATGTATTAGAAAACTAAAAAAATTATCTATGCTTTTAAAAGGGTAGGAAAGAGACAAAACATTGTGCTGATAAGAGATATATGTAATGAATTTATATACATCTTTAATGATTTTTTAAGTTGTCTACAAAAAGTAAGACAGAGACTATTCTTAGATAATAAATAATAATAGATAGAAACAGAACAATGCTTGTTGCCTGCCATACTAATTTACAAACTTGCCTACCAAAACTAAACACGAAGACCAACATGTTATAAGTCTAATAGATTAAGGCCTTTGGGGTGTAATTTTCAGTTGTTTATATCCAGTAGAAATGTAGAATGATTAAAAGAATTGAATAAATCACAGGTATGCAAGCAACTGGTGGGTTCCCGTTGTCCCAAGACCATTCATGATCGGAATACTGTTTCTTATATTGTCTGTCTTGCGTTTTTAATGTTCTAAATAAAAACTCAACAGAATAAAATTTTGCCAGATAAAAACGCGACGTTCAAGGCATCGTTCCTCGCAAACTTCAACCGCAAGAATAGAACAGGTGAATATTACCTGTTTACGCCAGAGATACTGGAACGAGACGGTGAAAATTAAAGATAATGCTCAGGGAAACAAGGTTACGCCGCTGCGGGAGAAATTGGAATTGTGCTTTGCGTGGTTGAGGAATGAGGTATTGAGGTGTCAGGTGAGGGATTAGGGTAGGGTTAATAGAAAATTAGAAATGGAATTTGTTACTTGAATTTGGGCTTGATTCCTGAATTTTGAAGATGGTAGAAGCCCGTAGCCAGCCCAATCGGCAGTTGGAAATATGGTGGTGGAATTGGAAACTGGAAAGATGGATAGTTGGAAATTGGAATATGGAAATTTTTTTTTTGTTTTTTTCACGGGCTGGGTTCGGGGTGGGGATGCCCCGCCCCGCCCCGCCAACCCGCTCGGAGCGGTTTTTTCGCCCCATTCAGGGCGGGGCATCGTCGGGGCGGGGTGGGGCAGTTTTTTTTGCCATCTCTAGTTGAGTCCATGGAAGGTCTAAGGAATGTGAAAGTAATAGCTTTAGTTGATGCGGTGGACTGCATTCAGATTGGCCCATTGGATCTAAGTGCTAGTTTGGGCCAACTTTTGGATCCAGTAAATGAAAAGGTAAAGGCCATGATGAATGGGGCAGAAGAAGCGGTTATTGGGCTAAAGTCCAAGAAAAGAAATGGTTCAAATGGGCCTTACTTGGCTGGTTTTGAAGAGCCAAATAATGGGCCTGATGATTTGAGGGCCCGTGGATACAACATGGTGTTTGGTGGAGTTGACATTGGGCTTTACAGGAATGCTGCACTGGATGATGTAAAGAAGTTTAAAATGGGCCTTAACCCGACAAGTGAAATAGATACAACTGCTGATGTGTCTAGTTTTGTAAATATTGAGAGTAAATAAATGCGTGTAAAACTATGTTCCTTCTATTTCATGCACGTAGCTGCTTCGATTAGATTTTCAGAACTCCTATTATATCTGCACCACGTGCAGATATATATAATGTCATTTTGATGAAAAAGATTTTTTTTTTTAACATTTAATTGCAAATTAATTTGTTCTCTTTAATAATGAATTAATACTCAAATACTTTGTATCTACACCAAGAAAGAGAGAAAACTATATATTTAATTCAAAATTCAACTGAATATAAAAATTAATTACAACTTGTATTTAAAGCAGTAAATAAATTCTGGATAATAACAACTTCTACATAACGTCTAACTCCAAATACCGATAAGAATGAAAGATAAAATCAAACTCTAAACGGAGTTAATATTCTAATCTAATTAAAATTAAGAAAATTATTCAAAATAATGAAAAACACGTTTTCGAAGCCATAAAGGCTGGAATTTGATCGAAACAAGTTGTACGTCATAGACGAAGCCATGAGTTTGGGTGGTAGAGTGAGTGAGAGTGATGAAGTGAGTGTGTGGTAAGGCGGTGTGGATGTAGATGTAGAGATGGCAACGAGGCGGGGCACCCCCGCCCCGTCCCACCACGCCACTCTCTCGCCTGCGCCCCTCCCCCAGCGGGCCTACCCACCTTTATTTTTTTAAATTTTCAGTTAAAATACAAATTCAAAATTTTAAAATCCAAAGCAAATAATGCTCAAACTAACTATATCAATATCCAAAACAAGCACTCGAAACAAAAAAAAATGTCCAAAATATTTTTTTTAATTCTTCATTGGGTGCCAAAAAAAAATGTCCAAAATATTTTTTTTAATTCTTCATGGGGTGCCTCGCCCCGCCAACCAGTTCAGGACGGGTTTTTTTGCCCCATTCTTTAACAAATTGCCAACCCTATGTAGATGTCACCCATTTAACAAAAAATCTAAATACTTTATTTGAAAAAAAATTTCCTCCTTATCAGCAGCCAAGATCGTAAAAATTTCATTTTTGCTTATTGCGCTATTTCCACTCAAAATAAATACAAGCATCTCCGAAAAGGAGCACTTCGAAAATTTATTTTTTTGGACCCAGATCCCACTTTTTCATCAACTCTTGTTCTTTTTTATTGCATTATTCTCCCTTTGACTGGAGAAAATTCGTCCTCAGATTTTGTTGGGGGAACATCTTCTTCATTAGTATTATCTCCAGAATATGGTAACAGATGTTTGACATTAAAAACGTCAAAAGTATGGATATGACTAGGTAGCTTCAAAGGATAGGCATTCAGGTTAATTTTCTCAATATGAAGGATTCAATAAAATATATAAGAAAGAACAAAAGAATTACGTGGTTCGGCGCTAGTGTGACAAACCTACATCCATGAGAGAAGAGAGAAGACTATATAACAATTATGGAAACATTCCAATTATTATCAACCAATATTTTCCAAATCATGCCATAATATTTTCTTCAATATTAACAAATATTATTCAAATCACCAAATATCTCTTTTCTCCAAAATATGTCGATTTTTCCTTTCGACCACTCCATTTTGTTGGGGCGTACCAACATAATGAGTCTGATGTATAATGCATTCATTGCGAAGAAAGGCAGGAAGGGGACTCTTTGTAAATTCAGTCCCATGATCCGAACGAAAAATCTTTATTTTGTTATCAAATTAAGTGGTCACCATGCTATGAAAATCCTTGAAAATAGGGTAAACTTCATTCCTAGATTTCAATAAATAGATCCAAGTAGCATGAGAATAATCATCAATAAACAATACAAAATATTTAAAACCATCATATGAATCAATCCGACATGAGCCCCATAAATCAAAATGGATTAACTAAAAAGGTTTAATAGACATAGATGAAGAATTATTAAATGGTAGACGAACTTGTTTGGAAAATTGACAAACATTACAAACGTGTGTCCCAAAAGACATAGATGGAAATAAAAAAGATAATACACGACTAGAGGATGCCCAAATCTTTGATGTACGATATGAATTTCTAGCATAGTACNGTACTACTAAGAGAAGTGAAACCGAATGGTTTGAAGAGATAAAGTCCATGTAAGTAGACACCTTCACCAGTCTTCTTCCCCGAAGTTCGATCCTGAAACCCAACATCATTAGGAGAAAAAATAACATTGCAATTGAAAGAGTTAGTTATTTTTTCGACAAAAAGTAGTTGAGTTGGAAACGAAGGAATAACAAGTACATTTGTACTAGGAAGAATAAGAAAAAGATTAATTTTTCCAAACTCACAAACAGGAACTGAGGTACCATCAGCAATTGAAACAACATGTTTTGATGATTTTTCGATAAATCACTTAAAGATGCTACATCATTTTCCATATGATCAGTGGCACCCGAGTCAATAATCCAAGCATTCAAATGTTTAGATGTGCACGAAGAGAAGTGAGCTTTGAGGTTACCAGAGACATGAATACTAGTAGAAGCAGTAGATTCTTTCGAACTAGGATGGCTAGGATGACCAAGTTGTTGGAGCATTTGAGTCAATTGATTCAGTGAGATGGTAGTGTCAGCAATAGCAGCAACTTCTCTGCTTCCTCCTTTCATAGTGGATGGCTTAAGATGAGGGTGAAGGTTCCAACAACGATTCTTAGAGTGTCCTGGCATGTGAAAGTGATCACATTTTGGAGGTTCCTGTCTTCCCTTGTTCCGAAAGCTTTTCCTTTTCTAATCTCTTTTTACAATAAGAGCAGTCGACTCAGATATATGCTTCAGTTCAAAATTCATATTTTTTCGTGTTTCTTCTCGCTGCATAGTTGCACACACACTTGAGAAGGTTGGCAGGGTAGAACTTATAAGGATATGACATTTAAGATTCTCATACTCCGGCTTCAAACTACTTAACAAAGAAAATAGCTTACCTTCTTCGGCTTTTTTTAACAAGATTTTTGCATCGATTGTATGTGGACGATACATGCTCAATTCGTCCCACTTTTTCTTAAGATAACCAAGATGCTCAATGAATGTCTTATCCCCTTGCTTAGCAGCAGTAATTTTCCATTTCAACTCAAAGATTCTAGCAGTGTTGTTTTGATTTCCATAAAGCTCTTCAACCGAATTCCACAATTCTTCCGCTGAATCTGGAAAGGCAAAGATTTCAGCAATATGTGCTTCCATTGAATTTAGAAGACAAGAACTAACGAGTTGATCATTCGAAATCCACCTTCTTACTTTGGATTTGCAGAATCTGGACAAGTAGAAATGCCATTGATAAAACTCAACGTTTTCTCTCCACCAAGAGTTAATGTCACGGTTCTTGACCATGGTATGTAATTTATACCATTCAAGAGAATAGTAGATAAATTCCACCACAATTAACATCATTTTCCATCACTATAGATGGATTAATGGCTTTCTCAGTCATTGTAAACGCAGAGACTAACCGAAAAGAAATTTTGAATTGCAAAAAAATTGAAAAAACACGAACAACGGACTTTGAGAGCGATTTTGACCCACCAAACATTGTCGAAAATAGCCCGAAAGATGTTATTCTAGATACGGATGATACGAACTCAATGGCACTGACCTTGCGTAATTTTGAGTTACGGTTTGAAAGATACAACCATTTTCGTGGAGGTCACACAAAGCTGAAAAAATCTGAACTGTGCAAAAGATTAAAATTCCGTTTCTTCTTTCCCTTTGTTTTCGAACTGTTGGCCGACTCAATACATCTGCTCTGATATCATGAAGAATTCAATAAAATATATAAGAAAGAACACAAAAAATTAGTTGGTTCGGCGCAAGTGTGACAAACCTACATCCATGGGAGAAGAGAGAGGACTATATTCACCTGTTCGAAATGTTACAATCACACATATATAGTCATATTACAACAATATTGCATTTTTATAGATGAGACAATCACGGAAAGAATAAAACAAATTATGGAAATATTCCAATTATCATCAACCAATATTCTCCAAATCATGCCATAATATTTTGTTTAATATTAGCAAATATTCTTCAAATCTCCAAATATCTCTCTTCTCCAACACATTAATCTCCATTGGCCTAATATTTTTTGCTGCAAGTTTATTATACTCACAAGTTAGGACACGATCTTTTGTTAGCACTGCCCCATACGAAATCTCCTACTTTAAACTCTATATGTCGTCTTTTCATGTCTGCATCTTGTTTATACTCAGCATGGCAATTTGCCTATGTTTATGAGTCATCTTATGAATGTTTTACAGTTGTTCAACGAAATCACCAACCTTACCATGCCCTGTTAACTGATAAGATCAAATCAATGGGATAGCGAGGGACCACACCATAAACCATATGGAAATAACTAATACCTGTGCCCGGATTTACAGCATGGGTTCTGGCTGCACAATCATTGGACTCGCAGCCGGGTTTCCAAACAACTGTATATGATTTATTTATTTATTTTTCCAAATTTTTTTCTTTCGTTTTTCTTTTTAATGATTTAATAATGCGGCCTTGTCAAGCAATGGGTTCCAGCTGCACAAGAATTGGACTCTTCAAACATTGGTAAGCTCCTTCCTTACTCTAATTTTTTTTTTAAAAAAATGTTTGAATACATTTTAGGAAGTACGTATATTATGCATATGTTTTTGGGTATGCTGCAATGTTTTGCTTTGGTGTGTAAATTGAAGGTGAAGCCGTTTTGTTGAAACAATGGAGAAGGATGATTTGTAAATGGTGGAGTTAAATTATATGCGTTTGTGTAATAAACCTTTTCAAATGACGTAGTAGTATAAGAATCGATGAATAATGACAAAGTTTGTAAATTAAGTGGCAAACTATATTAAGTTAACCAGGTGTACAACTTATGTCCATGATCATTTGAAAACATGCAAGTAAACAGGATCGTGAACAAGTAATAAAGCAGTGAATAAAGTGTCGAACCCACGAGAACTATGTATTTGATCGAGTTAAAATTAATTGTAACTTTAATCGAATAGCACACAGATTTTGTGATTTCTTCTATACTAATACCTAAATTA